GTTTCATATATAATTATACATATATAAAATTGACATATTTTATATATATAATTATATATATAACATGTTCATTATATAACATTTTCTCCGGGTAAATAATAGGAACAGGGAATAACAGATTTCAAACTATCAGAAACTGCGTACATCAGATTGCACGGTTTCTCAAAGGATGAAGGGTGTGGTCGAGTTGCCACTACGAATGCTTCGAAGCATTGATTAACCAATCGGAAGAAAGAATTTTACTAATTAATCAACCAAAAATGCTTCAAAGCATTCGTAGCGGCAACTTGGTCGTATCCGAAATCTATATATAATTTGCTGTTTCTATTGTACATATTCTATTGTACTTTCAGCTGTGTCTCAGGCTTAATACCTTTTTTCATGATATCCAGTTTTCAGAGGTAAATGACACACTCCGTATCCCTTGATGACGTCGCGACCGAAAAAATCCAAGCCGTAAATCGACATGATAAGTTGTGGCCCTATTTGGCAAATACATATTTGTAGATTAAAAATATGAAATGTGAAAAGCACGGGAAAAATTTTTTTTTCACATTTTTTACTCGTTTTATCCTTCCTTTATAAAATCGTATCATAAAAAATATTTCTGCACATCACTCACATCCATGTGGATTTGTACTTTTGAACGTAATCTCCAATGGAAAGTTCCATACGGCGAGATTTCTAGAATCGTTGCTGCATTTGCACATTTGTGTCAACCCTTCTTCGATTCCCTATGAAAAGACATTTTATTATAAATTCGCGATTTCACAAATTAGATATCTAAAAGTTATTTCAATTCGCGAATTTATTTATATAGACTAAAAAAGAATACGTTTTGAATCCAAAAAAAACTTGTATAATTGGTGACATAAAAGTGAATTTTTTTGGAATATTTTTAGAACTCTTAGGAATATTTTTAGAACAGAAATGGGATAGAAAAAGAATTTATTTCGTAAGTAGGGAATGAAAAAAGAATTTTTTTAGATTTTTTTTCATTTTTTTAAATTCTCTGTGCTATCTGAGTTAAGATCATCAATACCACGCGACTCTTTATCTTAATATTTACTCTATTATGATATAATTATTCTTTAAATTTCTTAAAACTATTTTGCATAATTGAATTCAAAAACAACCATAGAAACAATAATTAATTTATGTTAGCTCAAATAGAAATAAAAAATACAAAAATAATAAAAGGCATAGAACATTTAAATCATAGGTCTTTTTTGCGCAAGATTTGTTCGAATTTGTTGTGAAATAATAGAAATCTTGCGCATAAAAAATCCAGCGTGTGGTTTAAATGTTCTATGCCTATAAAGCCATTGTTATATTCTTTCTCATTAATTTTCTTACTGTTAAAATATACGAATAATGAATAATTAATAGAATTTTGCAGTTAATTAATTATATTTAGTTGACATAATTTCGAAATTTTATTGGTCAATAAATATTATATTCTAAACATAAAAGGAGTTTATATGAAGTTTTTCCTTTTGATGTAATTCAATATTGTCGCATGTCTTAAATTCCCTTGACAATAATAACTTAATTTTATTGTTCCTTTCGACTTTCTTTTATCTGTGGGAACTTACCGCAACGACGCTCCAGTCAGATCCGAAATGAAAGCTGTACTTGCAATAAACGTTATTGACCTCATAAAACTCTGCATGCTCGATAGAGCCGGTAACAGAGAGAAAAAATTGTCCTTCCACTGACATATTCCTCGACAAAAGAAAGCTTTATTTTTTGAACTTCCTTTTTTGACCAATAATACCCTGATAATTCGCCCTTTACAAACACTCAAGACTCGTAATGCTCTTAACTTTCTGTTTATATAATCGAACTCGCAAGTTACCATGGAAATGACACATGTGTACTTAAAATGGTAACGCATTGTTGCGTGTGAGTTATGTTGTGAGCCGCAACTGTATCATAGAATTTTTATGTTATTATTAATATCCTCGAAATTTCTTTGAAATGAATCTCTAATAAATAATTTATTTATACCAATGGTATAAATATACCATAATTTTTTTATATATCTTTTCTCTGAAATTTGATATGACCCATTACTTTTTTATTATTTATATAAGTGAAAAATAATTTTAAAAAATTATTTATGTAATATATAATTTCAGTTTATTATAAATTTAGAAGTTATTATATAACTTTAATTTATATTTATATAGATAAAATTTAATATTTCTTTATATTTTAAAGTACATATATAATAACATTTATCTTTATAATGAATGCTAATATACTAAAATAAATTGCATATTAATGCCCATGAGCGGACAAAAAACTAAAATAAAATCTGATACACAAAAGAAATAATTTTATTAATATTAATGAAATGTGCTTCCATGGAATCAATGAACTATGTTCAGCAAAGAAACCGATTTGAGCGCTTAGTGATTCTTTATTATGATTAATTCCTACATTTAGATTCGGACAAGAACTAGTCATATTAAACAATCACCGCGGTTATTGTTTATATAAATTTTCTTTGCTGAACACAGCCAATAATTTCTATATTTGACCCAATGTAAGAAATAGTCAATCGAATTTATGTTCAGAATTCATTTTTTATTTTGCAATCCTCAATAATATAATAAAATCAACAAAGGCTTTACAAATAATAATAATAGTTACAAATAATAAAAGTCAAAACAAGGAGCATGCATTTTTTGCCTAATTTGTTCTTTATTCTGATAATAAATATAAATAATATTAAGACTAAGAACAACCGAAATGTATACGAAAAGAAATATATATACGAATATAACAATTAGATAGAGAACACCTTTAGTGATCAAAGTTAAATGTTTCGTAATACTTATAATACAATATATTCTTTATTAAATCAATTTATTTCTGTTTTGATAAAATACAAGAATTTTCATATTTAATTAAATTTATTTTCATCGGTCTAAATTCATATCATATTGATTAAGAATTAAATCAAATTTTGCTGCAAAAAACCATTATGATTATATCAAATTATTTATTAGTTCATATATGCACATATATGCATCCTGTCTGTGAGTATGTCACGTGATCTGAGTGTATTACGTAACTATATATTATGTAAAAACAGTGTATGTGATTCTCTCCGTTTATATACTATGTGAAAGTACATGAACTTGAAAAAATATGGTGCTATCTTCAAACATGATAGCAAAGTCGGCAGTCTAGATACAAAAATCTACACTAAGATTACCTTTTTCAGCTGATTATTTGACTGATATCTTAACTAATATAATCGTATAGCTCAATATCTTTAAACTCTTTGAATTGCACGTTGTTTTGTCTTCGCCAGATAGAATCAAAGAAGGTTGGAGCGAATAGTGTTCTCTTCTCTGATTTCCGCCATTTATAGTGCAACTTCCGCAAATGTGCATGTATGTACATATACACAATACTAGTATGATACAATACTAACGTATGCAGCACCGTATGTTCCATTCATACGCTCCTATCATATCTCCTATTCATTTCAACGATAAACTGAAAATGATGACTCCGGTGAATCCGCTCCACTCTTCCTTGATTCTCCCTAGTCTTCGCATAGCACGCACGACATCTACAAGAGAATGCTTGAAACAAGGGAATTAATGAAGATCAATTAAGGTCGTTCATTGGCTAATAGTATATTTGGCTTTTTTCCGAAACAATACATTTTTATAAAACCAGTTAACAACTAGAAAATAATGATGGCGCTTCCTCATTGATAATAATATATATGTACATGTAATAACGCCTCAAATTGTGTTTACGATTCTGAAACGAGCGCATTGACGTAGAATAAAACTCTATTCGTCAGAGTTTTGTCTGTCAAACTTGTAAATATACATTCTCTTCGCGTTGTATAAGCGATTAGTATTGTCAAGTAAAAGTGAGGCAAAGGGCTACTGAAATTGACTAACATCATACATCTAAAATATACCTAAATATATCTGAATTTTGTCTTTAGATGTATTTTGAATATTTTTATGATGTATAAACATTGAGCTGCGATGGCTAGATATTGTATCATACCCATTCACTTGTTACAAGAGAACAGATACGTGATGACATTGTATTACCCTAATCGGATTCGACATATTTTTTTCTATTCCGTTTCCGCATATGACTCTTCGAATAAATATCCATTCGGAATTAGTTTATCGTTTATCACTCGATATTTCCTTCATGCGGTTCAATGCAGAACCGGCTTTGAACCAACCGATTTGCTGCTCATTCATTGTGTGGTTCAAACTGATGGCGTCCACTTTACCGTCTTTGTGTTTGATTTGAGCTTGGACCGGCTGAAAAAATCATATCAAACAAAAGAAAAGTCAAACATTCAAAAATTTTATATGTCAGATATTAAAAATAAAATTAAAGTTAAAGTAATTTAATTATATTTTAATTATACATATATGTATATATTTTCGCAACACATCTTTGCGTTCTAAGGGGAGTGAGAAGAGTAATTATACATATTATGCGATCTCACAGGTTTCAATGACTTTGACATATATTGTCGAGGTCATGACCTGAATTATCTCCAACAGATTTTAGCTGTTATTCGTTAAAAAGAAAAGTTTAAAAAAAATAATGTCTCTTTTCTACTATATAGAACAAAAATTATCCGCTTTAAAATAGATTTCCTGCTTTAAAAATAAAAATTTTCTTTAAAAATATTATTTTTTCATATAATTTTTGTTTTATATAACAGCGCATAGGTGTGCGCACGACTTTCCACGCGGTTTACTTCATCTTCGCGTGGAAAGTTGCGCGGCCTTTGGCAAGGAGGGACGTTTACAAAAATATTATTAGACATCAAGATTCAATCTCGATTATGATCTCGATTTTTATTGCCTTATTTATTTAAAATATTTCCTTAAGTTTCTGAAGTTAAGTCCTTTTGTTTAACTTATTTTCGTATTACAAGCAAAATATTTTTTACAAACCTTGCCAGGTGCCAGATCATTCAACCCGAAAAGACTGATCTTGTCGTTAGGTTGAATTTTGTCGTAATCCGCAGGGTTGGAGAAGGTCAAAGGCAAGAGACCTTGCTTCTTCAAATTTGTCTCGTGTATACGTGCAAAACTCTTCACGATGATGGCACGACCGCCAAGATGACGCGGTTCCAGGGCAGCGTGCTCCCTGGAGGAACCTTCACCATAATTCTCGTCTCCCACCGCAACCCATTTTACACCCTTCTTCTTGTAATCGCGTGCAACGTCAGGTACGGCACCCCATTCATTTGTCAGTTGATTCTTGATCTTATTCATCTCGCCATTTTCAGAATTAACAGCACTAAAAAGATTATATGACAAATGCGATTCACGTAACATTATCGTATTGATAATATTACACATAATTTTGAAAAATTTATTCTTATATCATTTCTGTTATCATCAAAAGTGAACACAACGAAAAAAAAAATTAACCAATAGGAAATAAGAAATAACGACTTTATAACGGTCGAATTTAAATCTTTAATGTTTAAATACTTTCATGTAAATTTGTACATACTAAGGTAAACTGTACATACATATATTCTATATTTGCATAATTATTTGCATTGTGCACCGAATTAATTTTTTTCGGAACTTAGAAACGTAGCTAACTACTGTAGTAATATCACAATTGATGCTCAATAAGAATTTTTTAAGAATCTTAATATGTTGGAAATCTCTGTGAATAAATTTACTTTTTATAGCCAAAATATTATCTTAGCCGGGAATCGAATCCGGTCTCTAACATTCTCTTGAATTACTTTCATTTCCTAATTTAAAAATCTTAATTTATAATTTGCTTTATGATTTGCTTACCCAATGAACATATTGTTGGAAATATTATCAAGATGTCCACGATATTTAAGCCATGGCCCAGCCGCGGAGATGTGATCTGTGGTGCACTTGCCTTTGACTTTAATCAGGATCGTCAGGTCCTCTAGGTCCTTGCCATTCCATTTATCGAAGGGTTCCAGCAACTGTAATCTTTGGCTTTTGGGATCTACATCGACCTTAACTTTGCTACCATCTCTTGGTGGTGTATCGAAAGTGTCCAGACCGGGGTCAAAACCACGATTGGGTAATTCGTCACCTGTACAAATAGATTTATCCAGTAATACATATGTATCATAAATATACACAAAAGGAATAACATTAATAGCTAGGAATAATCTACTTTTATAGAAATTTAATACTGAAAGTAATTAATTACTAACAACAATGCTCAAAATAAGTAAATAATCATTATCTTTCAGTATTAAATTTTCAGGATTGGAAATAATTCATTTCTTCCAACAAGTTCTAGATAGAGTTACTTTTTTTTAGTAATTGCAACTTACTTTACTTCTTTTTTTTCTATCTATAACTGCAACTTAACTTAGTTACATTTTTTGATAACTAGTAATTAAACTAGTAATCAATAACTTACTTTTATATTCACTTTATATATTTCAAACTTATTCATTAATATATAGACTTATCATAATAAAACCAAAATAAAATAATCAGTGATTATTTCTTGTGATTAGAATATATTTTAATCCCTGATCATCATCGCATTCTGTAAACGTCTGTATTAAGAATTAAGCTAAGAGCCTTTTAATGTATAATATATCTTAATATTGTATTATTATCAAATTAACAAAATCATTTTCAATTAGCTGCTGTTAACATATTATAATAATGTTTTTCCGCGTGTATTTTTTTTGCTA